GAACTTTAGTCAAAAACTTAAGTCCTGCTAGATCACTTCAGGCTGGCCCCTTTTGCAGGTATAGCTGGTATAAAATATAAAAAATAAGTGCCTATATGGTTTAAAATGCAGTAATACAGTGTCTCACCCTGCTCTTCACATGCTCCGTTGCTCCCTAATTTATGGCTCTGTGCCAAAAATGTAAAGGCCTATCTGCTGACAGCCTTAAGTGAAATGGCAACCTTTGGCAAGAAGAAGCAGGAACAATGCTGACAGCAATTTACAGAACGTACTAATTTTGGTAGCATAATTATTAATGTGGAATGTATGTTCCTTGCTAAAAAATATTATTTTTCATCAGGTTGTTATGGGTGAAGTTCCACTTTAATGCATATGAAGATGATCACAGTACTCTTTCTGACAATGCATTAATCTTCCTTTCTCTCCTAAAGGCTATCACCCTCTTTGTTCAGATATCAGACAGGGTCAACATCTACTTCCAAAACTAAGATGTAACTCACACACAGCCATGTAAATCCAGTGCTCTTAGAGCCTTTATCCTGGTTGTGTTTGCACATGCCCTCTCACACAGATCGCTCCTTCTGCCACTGTCTCCCGCATTGGGGCTGAAGCAAAGGTACATTGTAAAAACTGGGGCAATGCTTTTTACTGCCTGCATCAGATGGATAGCATAATTCTTTCAGATTCTTTCTTTAAAGTAGACATTGTTTGACTATGTCTAGAGGCAATTACCTTCCTGGAGCTCCAGAATATTTATAAATGCAGGCTTCCATTACTAAAAATGAGTCTTAATTAAAACCAGAGAATCATTTAAAGGTGAGTGTGAGACCACCTATTACCTGAATAGGTTGGCAGACTTGCAAACATTATGAATGTAGAGGTCTAACCATCTGAATTCCGGAGAGACAGAAGACACGAGTGAGTGGTTTACCAACTAATATTCTACCAAGATCTGCAATGCAGTTTTGCATGGACTTAGCCTTTAACGCTTGAATAAATTACAAGATTTTAAGTATAAGCATATTTATAGTCTTGGTGCATAGCTGACAAAAACTGAGCTCATCAGAAGCATTTTATTTTAGGTAGCCTTTGCATTTTAAATAAAGGCTATATTTCATAATTTGCATAGCTGTGAGAGCAGCTGTATATTTTTCTGCTTTGATTTGTATACTTATTGAACTGTGGGGTGCTCGACATGATGCTGCACTCTATCATTATTAGTGTGTGTTGGCTTGGATTGCTCTGATTGTGAATACTCGCAGTCTTCACAGAGCAGGTGGATTACAATAGCCTGATGTCCTAGGTGGTAATCATAGTTGGCAACATTTAAAAATAACTTCCAGGTACGTAGCTTCTGGGTCAGTTATTTTGTTCATTGTGTACATAATGTACTTGCATGGTTATCATTTTATATGGAAAGTGGCTCTGCTTGAAGGACACTTGTGAACTGCTGTTTAGTGTGGAGGCATTCAAAGAATTTCAAACTAGGACTATTATCTACACGATGATTAAAAAATGTGTGTGGGTGTACATATATATATATATATATATGTGTGTATATATATATATATATATATATATATATATATATATATATATATACTAACATTAGATCTTCACTCAAAAATTGCCTGCAAATAAAGGTGATATGCACTAAATTTGCCTTTTTAATTATTCATAAAGATCATCAGATTTAAGTGTACTTTGGAAAAAGTAAGTACACCCTTGGCTTCAAAAGTTGGTGTTGCATAAATAACTTATAGGTATTTTGCATACTTGCCAACAGTCTTACCACAACATTTTTATCTACTCTTCCATGCAAAATCCCTTGAGTTGCATTATGTTTGTGGATTTCCTTGCATGAGGTGCCCATTTCAAATATGTCCAAAACATTCCAATGGGATTTCAATCAGAGCTTTGGCTAGGCCAGTCCATACCCACCATTTCTTCTCTCTTAACCATTCCTTGGTGGATTTCATGTTAAAAGATCTATATAAATTTTTTGGCACAGGACATCGGCTCATACCTTCAGGTGGTTGCACACTGGCATGCTTTGAGGAAACATCCACTTGATGCTTCCCCCTAAAGCTTTATCCCACCCTTTGTATCCTCAGTTTTGCACTAGTTTCCTAAGGTGATGGATCTTCTCTCCTTCATGGTGATATTGCTCTTCACTTAAATAATTTTTTTTTCTTTATTATTCAATCTTAAGATTCATCAGTAAACTCTTCACTGACTTCTAATGCCATTAATAGAAGTAGAGCATCTGGATTGGCACAACCTTGGTTAAAAAAATTGGGAACTTAAACTGGGACCCCATGCTCGGGAGGCTGCCTGTAATGTTGCTCCAGGTGCTGGATCCTGCACGGGCTCTCATCTTGGCACTTAGTGCAGTGCATGTAGTTGCCACATGGGGCTATACAAGACCAGGGTCATGGTCCATCCCTATGGAACCCAGTTCTTGATTTGGAGTTAAAACTAAACCGCTCAGAGCTTAGTCTCAGGTGGATGACCAGGTGTGACAACACATATTTTACCTCCACTGCTGCCAAAAACCTGTATATGGTAATCAGGGGCTGCCTCCTGCCCTTTGGTATGAGCTGGGTAGCTGTGTTCTCCTTCTAGATGTGCATACCCTATATTTTGTACCACACAAGGGAATACCCTCACACAAAGCTATGACAGGAACCAGGTGAAAGGGAACCATTGCAAAACCGCAGGTGAACATTCACTCTGCCGAAGGCCCACACAACACCCAATCTCAGAGTGACGATGTGCCCCTCTTGCACCAAAGCTGGAGCCATGTCGGCATCAGATTCTAGCTCTATTTCAGGCATGCAACAAGCAGCCTACCTGGCAAAAGCAGAATTTTCTGCACCTATGTTACAATTACTTTAATACAGTCATCTTTGCCAAGGGCTCAAAAATGCCACATGTCTTCTCCTCCTCCCATTTCTCTACATGAGTTAAATCCAGAAATGCTTGCCCTAGACGAGGCGACACAGAAGAGAATGAAGACAACACTGTATTGGGAGAAGCTGTAGAACACTTTTCTTCCCCAAATAGCTGAATTATTGACAAAAGGAGCTTCATGCAACACGCTTACTAATAGTAAATTATTAAGCTCACTGCTTCCATCAGCAAAAGCATTGTTATTGTACAGCTTGATTCTCCTCTGACTCCATTGAGGGAAAAAAAGAGCTGTCCAAGGATGTCAGGGACAAGATTGTAGACTTACACAAGTCTGGACTGGGCTACCAAACTATCGCCAAGCAGCTTGGTGAGAAGGTGACAACAGTTGCTGCAATCATTTGCAAATGGAAGAAACACAAAACAACTGTCAGTCTCCCTAGGTCTGGTGCCCCATGCAAGATCTCACCTCATGGAGTGTCAATGATCATGAGCACAGTGAGAAATCATCCCAGAACTACACGTGAGGATCTTGTCAATGATCTCCAGGTAGCTGGAACCACAGTCACCAAGAAAACCATTGGTAACACACTACGCCGACAAGGATTGAAATCCTGCAGTGCCCGCAAGGTCCCTCTGCTCAAGAAAGCACGTGTCCAGGCCTGTCTGAAGTTTGCCACTGAACATCTGAATGATGTAGAGGAGGACTGGTTGAAAGTGTTGTAGTCGATGAGACCAAAATCAAGCTCTTTGGCATAAACTCAACTCGCTGTGTTTGGAGGAGGAGGAATTCTGCCTATGACCCCAAGAACACCATCCCAGCTGTCAAACATGGTGGTGGAAACATTCTGCTTTGGGGGGGGGGGGTTTCTGCTAAGGGGACAGGACAACTGCATCTCATCAAAGGGACGATGGACGGGGCAATGTATCGTCAAATATTGGGTGAGAACCTTCTTGCCTTAGTCAGGGCATTGAAAATGGGTTGTGGATGAGTGTTCCAGCATGACAGTGACCCAAAACACACAGCCGAGGCAACAAAGGAGATGCTCAAGAAGAAGCACATTAAGGTCCTGGAGTGGCCTAGCCAGTCTCCAGACCTTAATCCGATTGAAAATTTGTGGAGGGAGCTGCAAGTTCGAGTTGTCAAATGTCAGCTACCAAACTTTAATGAATTGGAGAGGCTCTGCCAAGAGCAGTGGGCCAAAATCCCTCCTGAGATGTGTGCAAACCTGGTGGCCAACTACAGGAAACGTCTGACCTCTGTGATTGCCAACAAGGGATTTTCCACAAAGTACTAAGTCATGTTTTGTGAAGGGGATCAAATACTTATTTCCCTCACGAACATGCAAATCAGTGCATCATTTGTTAGACATGCATTTCTTTTGAATTTTTTGTTGCTATTCTGTCTCTCAGTGTTACAATACACCTACCATTTGATTTTTAGACTGATCATTTCTTTGTGAGTGGGCAAACATTCAAAAACAGCAGGGGATCAAATACTTATTTCCTTCATTGTATATTCTGTGTATCCAAGAAAGAATCCAGGCCTTTTTTAAAGCAATCCACTGAGCTGGCCAGAACCAACTCTTGTGGAAGTCTATTCCACATTTTTACAGCTCTTACTGTGAAGAAACCTTTCCGTGTTTGGAGATTAAATTTCTTTTCCTCCAGACGTAAAGAGTGCCCCCTTGTCCTCTGTGATGACCTCAGGGTGAATAACTCTACACCGAGTTCACTATATGAACCACTGATGTATTTATACATGTTGATCATATCCCCCCTTAATCTCCTCTTCACAAGAAAGAATAAATTCAGTTCCTCTAATCTTTCCTCATAGCTGAGCTCCTCCATGCCTCTTATCAGTTTGGTTGCCCTTCTCTGTACTTTCTCCAGTTCCCCAATGTCTTTTTATGAATTGGTGCCCAAAACTGAACTGCATATTCCAGATGAGGTGTTACTAATGATTTGTACAGGGGTAAAATGATATCTCTCTCTGGAGTCTATACCTCTTTAACTGCCTCCCGCCCGCCATATAGTACAATGATGGGCACAAGGTCATTCTCTCATTCTGGGAGGACGTCATATGACGTCCTCCCATTCATCGGCGGTGCACTGTGTCCCTCGGATCAACGAACAACGGAAAGAGCCGAAGATGTCGGCTTGGTCATGTGATCAGCTGTGTCCAATCACAGCTGATCGCATGTAAATAGGGAAATGCCAATTTTAGGCATTTCTCTCCTCACGAGCTGTCACACTGACAGCTCGAGAGGAGAGCCGGTAATCAGTACCCCTCAGAGGAGACATGTACATTGATCATCAGGGCACCAATGATCAGTGTGCCCTGATGATCTGTGTAGCCCCAGCAGTGCCACCTGTCAGTGTCCATCAGTGCCAGCTGTCAGTGCTCATCCATGCCACCTGCCAGTGCCACATCAATGCCACATTTCAGTGCCTACCAGTGCACATCAATGCCACATATCAGTGCCCATCTGAACTGCCTTTCAGTGTCACCCATCAGTGCCAGTCAGTGCCACATATCAATGCCAGTCAGTGCCACCTATCAGTGCCAGTCAGTGCCGCCTATCAGTGTTTATCAGTGCCTGTCAGTGCTGCCTATCAGTGCCACCTAACAGTGCCAGTCAGTGCCGCCTAACAGTGCCAGTCAGTGCCGCCTATCAGTGCCATATATGAGTGCTGCCATTCAGTGCCCATAAGTGATGCCTGTCAATGCCCATCAGTGCCACCTACCAGTGCCTCCTCATCAGTGCCACCTATCAGTGTCCATCAGTGCAGCCTATCAGTGCCCATCAGTGCAGCTTCATTAGCGCACATCAGTGAAGGAGAAAAATCACTTATTTACAACATTTTATAACAAAAACTAAGAAACTTTTTTTTCAAACTTTTCAGTAGTTTTTGGTTTAAGAAAAAATAAAAAACCCAGAGGCGATTAAAGACCACCAAAATAAAGCTCTCTGTCACAAAAAAATGATAAAAATTTCATATGGGTACGGTGTTGCATGACCGCGCAATTGTCATTCAAAGTGCAACAGCGCTGAAAGCTGGAAATTGGCCTGGGCAGGAAGGGGGTATAAGTGCCCTGTAGGCTAGTGGTTAATACAAGAGAGGATGTTGCTCACTTTAGAAACCTCAACTTGGCATTGCATGCCATTATTAAGCTTATGATCTACCAGAACTCCCAGATCCTTCTCCACCATTGATTCCCCCAGTTGTACTCCCCCTATTATGTATGATGCATGCATATTCTTAGCCCCCCAAGTGCATAACCTTACATTTATAAACATTAGACCTCATTTGACACATAGTTGCCCAATTAAACAGTGCATTGAGGTCGGCTTGTAAATTGGAGACGTTATTCCACTGCACAGCTTGGTGTCATCTGCAAAGACTGAAGTGGTATTTATAATCCCAGACCTTATATCATTTATAAATATTTTAAGAAGTAAGGGTCCCAACACTGAAACTTGGGGTACACCACCGACCACCATAGACCATTCAGAGTATGAATCATTAACCACTACTCTCTGAATACGATCTTGTAGCCAGTTTTCTATCCATTTACATACAGATTTTTCCAAGCCTGTAGACTTTATCTTACACATTAGCCATGTGTGGGGAACTGTGTCAAACGCTTTTGCAAAATACAAGTAAGCCATGTCCAACACCCCTCTGTCCAAGGTTTTGCTCACCTCCTCATAAAAAGAAATCAGATTTGTTTGACAACTTCTGTCTTTTCATGAATCCATGCTGTCTGTTGCTTAAAATATTTTTTTTCCACCAAGAACTCATCGATGTGGTCTTTTATTAAACTCTCCAGTATCTTCCCAACTATAGAAGTTAAACGAACAAGTCTATAATTATTTGGTAAAGATTTTGACCCCTTTTTAATATTGGCACCACATTGGCCTTACGCCAATCAAGTGGTACTGTGCCAGTAATTAAAGAATCCTTAAAAATTAGAAATGGCTTTGAAATGACAGAGCTCAATTCTTTAAGGAGCCGTGGGTATATGCCACCCGGTCCTGGTGCTTTATTCGCCTTTATTCTGTCTAAATATTTTTGGATCATATCAATTGTGATCATCTGGAGCTGTGTCAATACCATGCCCATTATTGACAAGAGCTCCCCCATGCTCCTTTGTATACACAGAGCTGAAGAAGGTATTTAATAAATGTGCCTTCTCTTTGTCCCCAGTCACCCACTCTATATTATTATGTAAAGGGCCTACATGCTCAGACCTGACCTTTTTACTATTAATATAGTTGAAGAATTTTTGGGGGTTGGTCCTGCTGTCTTGCAATTTGTCGTTTGTTTTCAATTTTTACGGCCTTTATTTCCTTTTTGCATATTTTGTTCTATTCTTTGTATTGTTTAAACAATGATGGTGTTCCTTCATTTTTAGATTTAATAAAAGCTCTTTTCTAATTATCTATAGCTTTTTTAACTTTGGCCGTAAGCCACTTAGGTTTTACTCTTAGCCTTTTAAACTTGTTGCCAAAGGGAATATATTTTGCAGTGTGTTCACATAGTCTTTTTGAATAACTCCCATTTCTGTGTTTTGTTTATTGATGCCAATATTCCCTCCCAGTGTAAGTCTTGGAGAGCAGCTCTCAGCCTTGGAAAATTAGCTCTCTTAAAATTGAGCATTTTTCCCCCATATGTGCTTGCTGTTTACAGCTAACAATAAATTAATTCATGTTATGGTCACTGCTACCCAGATGTTCTTTTATATGGACATTCGTAATAAACGCTGCATGGTGTGAGATTACCAAGTCCAGCAGATCATCATTCATAGTAGGGGCCTATATGAACTGTACCATAAAATTGTCCTGTAGTATGTTTAAAAATTCTTGGCCTTTAACTGTTCCTGCAGTACCATTACTGCAATTTCCAGTAAGTTAAAATCCCTCATTATTATCACTGTCCCAGCCCTTTTGATTTGTGCACGGAGCTGAGTCTCCACCTCCTCATTAACACTGGGAGGCCTATAACAAACTCCAGTGATTACCTTTGTAGTATGCACCCCCATGTTCAGTTCCACTCATAATGCTTCAGCCTCGTCACACTCTCTATCAACTAGGTCCTTTTTCACACTCACTCTGAGATCACTTCTCAGATAGAGACAGACACCACCACCTTTCCTATTTACCCTGTTTCTATGAAAGAGAACATAGCCAGGAATATTAATGGCCCAGTTATGTGAAGAATGAAGCCAAGATTCAACAATGCCAATTAAATCATAGTTTTGTTCATGAACCAAAGCTTCCAACTCACCTATTTTGCTTGGCAGACTTCTGGCATTGGTGAACAAACACTTTAATCCATTGACACCTTGTGCACACGTATTTTGCATATTTTTTATTTTCATACAAATGGTACCAATTCCACTGGTTGTTTATAACATGGGAACCTTCTTATCTGCCATAGCCCTCCCCCCATCTTTCCACCCACCAATAAGTACCCCTTTCTGATCTAACTACCCAGTTATAATCTAATTCTCCCTCTCCCTCCCCCTCGGTCCTAGTTTAAATACTCCTCCAGCCTTCCTATATACCTCTCCCCCAGCACGGCAGACCCCCTTCCATTTACGTGCAAACCATCTCTAGCATATAGGCTGCACCCCAATGAAAAGTTGGCCCAGTGTTCTAGAAACCCAAATCCTTCCCTCTTACACCAGGTCTTTAGCCATGCATTGAGTTCTCTAATCTCCCGCTGTCTTTCCTGCATTGCGCATGGCACAGGTAATATTTCAGAGAATATCACCTTGGAGGTCCTTCTCTTCAACTTGCAGCCTAGTTCTTTAAATTGATTCTTAAGGAGCCTCCACCTTCCATGTATTCTGTCATTGTTTCCAACATGGCCCAAGACAGCTGGGTCATGCTCAGCCCCTCCCAGTAATTTATCAACCCGATCCACCACATGCCGAACCCTGGCACCAAGGAGACAGCAAACTATTCGGTTGAGGTGATCCTGGTGACAAATTATTCTATCAGTCCTTCTGATCATAGAATCCCCTACTACCACCAACTTCCTAGGCCTTCCTGCACTACCCCTCCCAGATGATCTGCCCTCCTGGTTGTTAGGGATAGCAGTGACATCCAGGGCTGCCACCCATGAGCTTGCTACCCCCACATCTTCATCCAACTTCGCAAATCAGTTTGTGTGCACAAACCCAAGGCCAGCCTTTTTTTTCTGTGAGCCCCTAACACTCCCTCTCATTACAGTAACCCATCTTCCTACCTGATAATACTGATTATCCCCACCACCCTCCACATCAATCAAATTAGCTACCTGCTCAGAGAGCAGAAGCCCCCTTTCAAGGTTGTCGGTTCTGCCCAGTGTTGCAGCTTGCTCCTCCAGATCTCTAACGGGAGTTTCCAAGAGGCAACCTGCTCACATCTGTTGCAGCAGTATCCATCCTGGAGCTGTTGCTCCATTGTTGCATACATATGGAACATTGTGCACTGCGCAACACCTTCAACCCTGCTAGCACACATTATCCCAGTTACAATATTAATAGAAAATATCAGTTGTCACTTACAGGTTAGTAGACTCCTGTTATAATCTCCTGTTTTCAACTCCGGTTTTTAACTTCAGTTATCAAATTTCCACTTGTTCAAAGGTCCAGCAAGCAAAATATAGGCAAGCTCAGAGTGAGCTCTACAGCAAGTTATATACTACTTGTATCACCTGTGACCAATTAACCCATCCCCTTAATACACCTCCCATACACTGATCACCTCTGCACCCTTCTTGCACCTGCACCACTCTTCTGTGACTTTAGCTAAGCTTTACTGCTCTGGCTATCCTTTGTTGTGCAATAAACATTTATTTGCTAAACAGGGATTTAATATAGATAGATAGTAAAAAAAAAAAAAAAAAACAGAGATCATAAATTTAAGAAAAAAATGTCAGATTGATCCAAGACCATTATAGTCTTTCTTTACATGAAGAACAATGACCATCTCCCTATAAAGCTGATGAAATAGAAATGTACCTTTGTTTAGCAAAAATGCATGTTTCAAGCAAACAAAAAAACTGCTGGTATTATTTTTAAGGTATCCCTTTTTTGCAAGCAGAACAAAAGGAATTCTTCACCTATATTCCTGTAGTAATGTGATCCTCACAAAATCTTATTCTGACCCCATCTTCATATATGTTGTTAAGTGTAAATTGGGCAAATTCTTCACAGGTTATGATGTGCACTTGTGACTTATCTCTGCAGCATCAGTAGATAATTAAAAATCAGTCTGCAGTTGCTCAGAGGGTTGGCTTTGGTTTGTTAACATCCTTTATTTCCAGATTGCTTTGTTTGCTGCACCTCATTTTCTTACTTGCCTTAGTAAAAGATTGTACATGAATGTCACTTTGTTTACAGAAAAATAACATTATTCATTATAGCCTATTCTAATTTAGTGGATTTTAACTGGTTGTCTGTGATATGTTTTTTCTAATGGCAAGCCAATTTGTTGAATGTTGAAATTTAACTTGAAGCCTCTGTTTTTCTGAAATTGATGTCTCAAATATCAGTCATTAGAATTAATTGGATGTGCTAGTTTATTTTTTGGTTGTACATGTACAGCCAAGGACATCTTTTTAAAGGTTATGTTCGTAGGA